AAAATCATCGTGATGAAATTGAAAAAATACGCAAACAATTACGTAATAAAAAAGATGAAGAAAAACAACGAATGGAAAATGTTCAGGACATTAGTGCTCAAATTGAAAAGTTATATCACCAATTGGGAACACTGGATCAAAATTCGAACGATAATCAGTCTTTAGATGTACGTGTATGCGTATATACAAGTAATCGTCATTGTTTTTTGTTATATGTGTGCAATGCTCTGGCCAAAGCTTAGATCTGAAATCTTGAATTCTTTCCAATTGTATTATACTCTACATCAGTAATTTGCATTCTATTTCTTAAATTTTGAAGGTTGAATGGAATCGATTAGAAAAACAACGTAACAGATTGATTCAAGAAAGTCATGGTTTACGACTTCGTGGCGAACAAATAAATGATGATTTGAGAAAATTGCATACACAGCAAGCGGGTAAGTGTAATGGTAGATATATATAATGAATCGAAACTGTACACCTCAGTGAGGTAGGTTTTGTGAGATCATGAAAGCATCTGAGATAAAGCAGCTAAATGAGTGGTATTCAGTTAAAAAGAGTATAGTCATTCACGGACAGCTTTTAAATACGATTCGGAAACCTTCTTACGATATTTCTGTTCTAATGATTTAGATAAACAATGTGAATTAGAATCAATACAAAGTATTCGTCTACAACATCTACAGTTATCTGATCCAGATAGTTATAAAGCTGTTATATGGTATCGAAACAATAAAAATTTGTTTAGAAAATGTGTGTATGAACCAATGATTTTATCGGTATGTAAAGTATACCATGCCACTTAATATCATGATCTATGTTGTAGTCTTTATTCGTACCTTAGCTGAATATCGAAAATCAAAATATGGCAAATTATGTTGAATTTATCATACCGAAACGTGATTTAACAGCTATGTTTATCTTTGAAGATACCGACGATATGAAATTATTCATTAATGAATGTCATACAAAGCAAAACTTAGTTGTTCACGTTTCAGCTATACCACAACTGACATTGCAAGATTTTAAAACACAAGCACAACCAATTGCAAAATTAAAGTACGTATGTTTGCAGCCCCTTTGAGTTCAAGTCATGTATGCCATATTTTTTCTAGATGTTATGGTATTACGAATTATTTGTTAGATGTCGTCAATGATTCTGATCCGGTATTATGTTATCTATGTGAAACAACAAAAATGCATTTGATTCCGATTGCTGATGAGTCTGCATTGGAATCAATTGATTCATTAATTAATAATAAAGAATTAGGTTTCACATCTTTTTTTATGAAAAATTTCTGTGTATGTATTGCGCGAAGAATTTCTTTGTTCATTATATAGTCTTTCTGTCTACTTCAGTATAGAATTGTCACATCATGTTATTCAAAACAAATATCATCTACGAATGTTCAAGTGCAAACCCACAGTTTTTTAACTGATTCAGTCAATCAACAACGAATACAACAACTAGAAAATGATTTTCTTGTACGTATGTCCTTTTCGTCTGGCTTTTTTCTGATAAAAACACATTGAATTGATTTAGAGTATAACACAAGAACAAAATCAATTGAGAAATGATTATCGTACTAATCAAGATGAAATGCATAGAGTTGGAAAAGAGTTGGATGCTGTTGAACAACGAAAAGTATGTTACATATGTAGCTCAGATGACTTCTGATATGACTGCGCTCTATGGAGCGATATTTAGAGGTCAGATCTATCCATCACAAGTCAGAACATGATAAGACCTACTTTATACGATATTGAGAGCTAAAGACAGTATAGACGCATACTGTCTGGATATAGAGCATGCGTCTCTACTGAAAGACTTGTGCTGTAAGCAATGAGAAGTGTGTGCTTGTGATGCCCTCGCAC